TCCCGGTCAACACTGACAGTATCATGTCCTTCAGCACTGCAACTAGGATTAGAAAGCTTCTTGGAGACGGAACAAGAACCTCGTGACTATTTAATCATATATTACCTACAGGCAAGCTTATACCCGCTCAAATCCTGATATAAAAGTTTTCCAGTTGTGTTTTAGTTATACTCCTGAAATCATATTCAATATGCATCTATATTTATTTATTTGTTATTAAAAAAATAAAACAAATAAATAAATAGCACAGATAATCATGAACTCTGAGGGATAAATAATACATGTATTCGGTCCGAAAAATAATTCAATAAATAATGATTTGGCTAGTATTTACGCAGCTGCTCATTCGAGAGACTTAAAACCTTGTTAGGGGCCATTTTGAAAAATAAAATTAAACACCAAATAAAAATGCATTATTTTGAGGTATCAAGACTCCTGTTGCATGTGATTTGTCTCTAATCAGGGTCCAATTTTTTTGGGGGGGGGTGGGCAAATAAGACGCTTGCCTAATTTTTGTCTTGTGAGAAAAAGTTGCGAAATCATAGGTCAGAATGTCATACAATGGAAAAGCATGAGAAACGTTTTCAGGAAAATGTGGGAGCAAGGTTACAAAGACTCGGGTGAACGCTAGACACTAAAAGTTTCCGCGCGGTATCCTGGGAAAACGACAGGAAACTGAATAGGTTGGTATATACATATTACGTGGGAAGTCCCCCACATAAATTGGCGGGAAATTGATAGACTGCTCCGTTCCTAGATGTGAATAAAGATTCTGCAATGCGGTCTTTCCCTCCGGAAAAGGAAAGTCGGTGTATATTCGTACTTTGGCAGTTTCACAGCAACAGATAAGGAAATGTTACGCATGAGTCAACCTGGCGAAGTAGGTATCAAGGCATTTTTAAACTGAAAGTTGTCAATGAGTAGGAAACTGCGCCGTCCAACAGTGGCACAGGTCACATAGAATTGTATGGGATGTTACTTCAACAGGAATTTGCTTCATTTAAAGAATTAACCAAACTCTATGATATACGGCAGCCCCTTTCACACAATGCATACGATAATGCACTTCATTCATTCAACTACAGTGACATTTAATGGCAAAACCACTACATGTACGTAGAACCCAACGCAAATTCATAAGCACCATATATTTAAGATGCAGCGATACAAATTGCCCTCCTTAAAATAAAAAAATTACCCGCTGAAACTTTTCGGATGAAAGACAGCCAGCGCTCAGGACCGTTGGGAGTCCCTTTAAGAGCGTCCCAAGAGTACGTCCGACCCGAGATGAAGATGAACCACTCAGGTCGATATGAGAAGAGCCCGGAGGGTCTGCCCATGCATTAATTCATACATCTCTGACGGACAGGGAAAGAAAATACTCTCGTATCTGGCGTCTTATGCGCGCAGGCTAAGATCTGTTGTCTCGAGAAAGGTGTATGGATAAAGCTTACCGTAGTCTGACCACTGGCGTTAAGAAATTGAAATATGGCCGGGGCACTTCGATTTGTCTTAATTCCAGCATGAAACATCACATAAAAAAGGACTGCTCCGATGGCACACCAAAAACACGACAACCTTCCAAAAAAATGAATACACAGAACACAATAAGAACGCCCAAGGAAATAAAATGTAGAGGTCCAATACGTGTACTGTCCAATCAAACCCTCACAAGGATTCATTTACCCAACATTACCACTGAGAATGAAAGTAAATTGGGCGAGCTCGGCGATGAAAATGAAATGTCAACTTGCCTAATCATCCATGTATGACACCGCACGTGTACATGTCAAAATTTTCCTTTCCAATTACCCGCTCTTTGGTCGCGGTAGGTGATTCATATTACGTGCTAAAGGTCGCAGGTGGGTCTCATTCCATCACTATCATCAATCTTCGACGGGTAAGATACAGTATTTACGCCATCTCATCAATCACTGCATTAGTAACATAATGAAGCGGGGAAATAGCGCGGCGGCAGAAGAGGTTACTTTCCTCCTGGCGGCCGCCCAGCATTCAACCTCCATCACTCGGTTCGAGACCCGTCCAGGTTTCGAAATGTGGCCACTGGGTTTTCGTCAGAATCTTTGCGTGTAGATGCGTTTCTCTTCCACAGGAAATCCCTTGCCTTGCTTTACGTTTCCGGGATACAGTGACGTAAATGCTTTTGAAGAAGGCCCGGTTTCTTTACCAGAAAAATGCAAGCATAAAATGTGGATTTAAGACACTAAATTCTAAATGCATCATCTTTCATAGAAAAACTTGGCTTTGATCTCCATCGTTTGTTGAAAATGTATTTTAAATTTACAAGACCTTCCCCACAGGACTCATTAGTCACCCCAGGAGTCAATATTTACAACCATCTCCACTGCACGTGGATTGTTTTGTTTTTAGCTGTAGCAGAAATTTAGTCGGATTCGTGTTGCCATGATTCATACTGTGAGGAAGAGCCAATCGAAACTTCCAGCTTCTGTTACTGAAGTTGCCATAGTGCTTAGTTCACGTTGTCCAGCAAAATGTGGCGACAAAGGCTCGTGTAATCGACGGAAGAATGTAAAACAACCCTAGCTGCTAGACACGCTCGACTTCCGACCTACCTTGAAAATGACTTTTTGTTTCGTGTCACCGAGGACAGGAAGTTGATATGAACTGCCGACTCAAGTTTCAGGTAATCATTTGGCTGTTCATTTCCACCAGGAAAAAAAAAAGGTCCCTGCATAGCCAAGAATGAGACTACAGTGTATCGATAACACACTGCTCTGATCAAGCATAACAAAAACAGCTACACAGGGGACTCCACGTGGTACCACTATTAGGCAGATCTCTGGTACAAAGTGGGCAATTTCCCATTGGGCCTCTTGGGCACCGTGTGACGACCTTTGAACTTGTCTCAGAAAAGAGAGGAAAGGTGGTTTCCCCTTGCACTGTGCGTATACACACAGGAGCACAGTCAAATGGGCTCAGCTGGCACAGTGTACAAGAATATCCTGGAATCACTTGTTGAAAGCCATGTCTAGCTGCCTCATGGCTCACAAGTTCAAACGCCTTTCCTTCTTCAAATACGCTGTCATTCATCAGGCTTGGTGCTTAAAGAGTCAATGTAAGGAGTATTTAGCCTGGTGCCCCCTTTTAAAAGTTTGTATGCCATGCAAAGTGGCATATTCAAGAGCAAAAATGTGATGTCATTCCAGGAGGAAATCTCAATCTTACACTTATTTCAGCAACAAAATTTGCCAGAAATTAGATTGGTTAGTTATTTGTTTATTCTCTTAAATGTTTTTTCTTTGAAGTTTTTGTTGTTCAATTCATAACAATAGGCCAGTAAAGAAAGCTTTCTCAGGAAAATATGTTTTGTGAGCAAACTTTATGGTCACAATATGTGTAGAAAACCCCTTCAACATGTAATGAACAGTGTTTCCTGGATTTAAACCCCAGCAACAGCGCCCTCATTTATCAGAAAAGCAGGAAAAGTTTAAGTGTTCAAAAACGTGCATGTTTCAATATAATTGTCCCCCAAAAAGATGTCAGAATTTTTTTCATCAAATCTGTGAGTAAGACGGATCACTGATTGGACCATTTACGACATTATTCCAAGAAAAAAATTACACAAGTTTATCTGCACTGTCAAAAAAAAACAACAGGAATCGTTACTCAGTTTTGTCATTTATGTTAGCGCTGTCAATTCTTTTTTTTGTATTCAGCTGTCAGATCACAGTAAGAGAGTAAGGTTTATTAAAGGAGGGGGATGTGGGAATGCAAGGGTTAAATACATATGAAAGTTCAACTACCTATGAAATACCTGCTCTTCAACCCTGGCTAAATTTGTATCAGAAGTTTGGGGGCTATTCATCATTATGTGTAAACAGACGTGATAACTGGCTGTCACAGCTGCCAAACAGTCACCAAGAAAAACGTAATCATCTCCCAACTCAAGTAACTCGATCTTTCCTGTAACACCTGAAATCCAAAAACTCCTTAGGAGACACACTAGGACTGCGTGGAGCAGTAAGCTGACGGAGGGCATTCCCAGGGGAGCCACCACAGACAGGAAACTATCAACGGCAAGATTTATCAATTTCCTGACTCCATCTGCCCAGAATGTGACCTGGATCCAGTTGGTCTTATTTCCCCTGTCCAGGAGGTGGCAGTTTATGGAAAGGAGGGGGGGGGTGGAGGCGGCTTGCAGCATTACAAAGACCTGCAGGTCTGCCAGGGTTTGACATAAAGCAGGTGTGGGAGTGCGCTGGGCAGGGAGGTGTATCTGAGATGTTATAAATAGTTGGCTTCTTTATGACGGTGATATATCATCCCAGTGTCGGACATGTTTACTGGAGGTAATCGCTGCCAGCAGGATCAGATGGTCTGGGGCTGCAATCCATGCACTAATGAGTTTTGTCACTGGTCAGGTACCCCACCAAGTGTACTTTGAGACATGTCAGGGGGTGATGGGTGTCCAGACAGTCACCCTTACATCTGAGCAGAGTGTAATGTGCTCGGATATGAGCAAGTAGAGACCTTGCCTAGACCTGCAGCAATATCCTGTGTTGACACTTAACTTTGCACACCACATGACAGTTTTACCTTACCCTTGTATACATCTGAGCACCGCCTTTTACTCAAATTTCCTGTCTGCTCCAACAACGCTGCAGTACCGGTACTGCACTCCTCATATTTAGAACGCCAAGCCACTCATTGTTCAAGTACTATTTTGTTGGCTTTCAGTCTGTGTCCTTTCACCAAAGGACACAGACTAGAAATTAAAACTTGTATTCCAAAGTACGACTTCTAAGACTGTAAGTCCTAAAACTTGTGTACTCAAAAGGTAGCATGCTCGACTCAGACTCATCTTGTACTCGATGTTCTCAGTACTCAAATTTATAAACCATGCAACTACATTTTTCCCTTCTTTTTTACATTGTGAAGATCAACAAAATGGGGGAAATAGAAAGCGATGCAACTTGGCACAGCAAACGTAAAATAGTTTCAAAAACTCATGAACTTACCTTATAGCTGTGGCTTGTGGTGTGTGCATTTGGCGCCCTCTGGTGGTCACTCTTCTCTCTTCTTCATCATGACTTGTGAGAATCTCTTCCAGCAAACCTCTTCCTAGTTTGTCATTCAAAAAAACGTAGCATTTGAATGACAAAACATGAATGACAGTAATGAAAAAAAATGGCATAGCTATGACACAAAACTGTGTGCCAAATTTTAAGTACATGTATATTTAGATGTTCAATCTTTTACTGTGGCTGACCATCAAAGACAAAAAACGTGCTTTTCAGTTATGATTGTTTAGTAATGATAACTCACCAGCACGTGTCATTTTGGGAGGAGGATTCTGTGTCAAAGGTTGCGGGGCATGTCGTCTAGGGGCTGGTGTGTCCAATGGTGAAGCTGTCCCAACACGCTTCCCTAATCCTATTTCGGCATTGTTGTCACTCGAAACTATCTCAGGCCTTGGTTTGGGTTGTGCATCGTTGTGGGGCAGGTGCCTATGCAGCGTCACAGCTGGTGTGTAGCGGCTCTGTTTCTGAGATTGGAACTCGATGGACTGGTGCGAGTCTACTCTTTGAATTCTGCCACCTCTAGAAGTGAGCATTTCTTGAGGCTCAACAACCGCGTGCTGTGAAAAAGCTGAGTGGAATTTCTGACTCTGAGTTTTCTGATTTTCAGGTCCAGCGGGCTGTCCTGGAACCATTTCTGCAGGCAAGTTGGCTGTGCGCATTACATCCCTTTGTGGAATAAGCTGCTCTGAAATCCCACTTCTGACACCATTTATTGAGGTTGGTGATTTTCCTGAGTAGCTACCAGATTGGGTCGGTGAAGGATGTTTCTCCTGTCTCTGGGGTAGGTGCTGATTGGCCATCATAAATCTCTCCTTCAAACAAATTTGAAATAAATTCAAAAGGGAACAAAAACCCAACAATTTAAACCTTCAGCATGAGAAGTCAATAGCCATTCTTGGGATTTATTTACTTATGTCTTACTCCTAGCATCAAGACCAGATCAGGAGGACATTTGTTCCCTGGGTTCCAGGTTAGAATAAAGAAGTGACCAGATGGGAAATTTTAAAGTCAGAGTTGGGAGGAAACCCTGAAATTTTGGAACTTTGTGGTCAGCAATGTTGGAAAATGTGTCCAAAGGTTATCGAAACCACTCTCCACCATATTGTGGTCATCACCTCATAACCAATCATAAAAAATCGTCTTCAGCCACATCCAGTTCAGTTTCATTCCAATCCAGACCTTTGTGATCCTTTTTTCCACACTTAACCTAGACACCTGGTAACTTGCAGAAGGTATCAACAAATTAGTTTCTTTCTTTTTAATTTCTAAGATCCTGGGATGACCCGGTCTTACCTTTAACATTCTCTAAACCATGTATTTTGCACTTCTTATTTCTACCTGTTTAGATTATCCATACAACCATGGATTTAAAAGGACCATGCAATACAATTTTTTTAAAACTACAACCCTTGAAAATGCACCATTGTGTTTCAATTCATGTCATTTCCATTCTTTGTTTTGCTATTTTAATTGTATTTTGATGACTTTTTGGTTTTATTGTAATGCCAATTTCCATATTCATGAATAAAACTGCGGACAAAAACTGCCAGAATGTTTGATATTTTGCTGCTCTAAATTTTCTATTCTTTGGTAATTCACTGTGGTTTGAACCCACTGAACAACCCTTTTTCAGATACGTTTTCAATCAACAAAGCTGGGTTCACAGTCTGAACAAAAATCCCACAAAAATTGAGTAATGCTACCCTGACTGAAATCACAGCCACCGCGCTCTCTATGGCTTGGAAAATCGTGGACAGTTTTGAATATACCTTACCCCAATACGATGTCAAAGTGTTTTCACAAGTCGAAGAAAAGTTTAAACTCGCTTAAGAATATCATCTAAGAAAACTTTCTCGCCAGGGCATTTCTAAAATATGGAACCTCCACAACTTGTTTCTAGAAGAGGGGCTGCTAGGGTGAAATAATCATCTGAGAGAGTACGTGTACCTGCCATTCTAATTGCCTGTCTTGCAGCTTTTCCAACTGTTGCAGTCGCTTGCTGACTGCATCGTCCAGCTGCCGCTGCAGTTCGCTGGCCTTGTCGCTAAGCTGTGTCGCTACAATGGCTGGTTGCTGCTGCTGTCGTTCACCTTGTGGTTGCTGCGCTCTGTCGGTCATTTCATGCAGGTTGGCAAGTTTTGCCATCATGGCGTCCATCTTGCTTTCAAGGTCGGTCTGCGCCTGACAAGAACAGGAAAAAAGTTGTCAAGAAAAAGTAGCACCAGTTTGTACAGCTGCTGAATTCTTCTGTGCAATAATTGACCGCTTTTACAGCACTCAGGTTAACGTCAACAACTTAAAAATAAGAAGTAAAGCCAGCACTCCCCTTTCATTTAAGCTTGTCAATTTCGGTTTATTTGAAATTATTTTAACCATCAGAGCACTGTAAGAAAAAAAACGCATGTCTGGTTCTTTTCCTCACATGCTGTCTCTTGCGAACATGTCTTATTCTATTGAGTGCAAGTATCAATTTTCACATGGGCAACAATTCATTTTGACAACAGGACAAACATCTTGCACAGATCTTGATGTCATGGGTCAGTAAAATAACTGGTCACACATAACTACAGTGGAACGCCGCTATAACAAACAAGATGGGGTCCATGCTAAATGTTTGGTACAGCGGTCGTTCGGTATAGCGAATTTAACTGCCTAATGTTTTGTTGCCATGTTGAATAGCGCCCTCTCTTGTCTAACCGAAGTGCACGCTCTTGTGATACCTTGGTTCGCTGTTTTCGTGATGTTTTGCCGTCGCATTCAAGTTTAAGGTTTCTAGAAATGTATCTGTCAATTATTTTTGTTTTTTATTTAAACTTGAGTCAAAAAGTTGATATCAAGTTTATCCTAAAAGTCGTGAAACTACCGCTCAGGATCGATCTCTGATGCATGCTGTGGCAAATCTCAGTTGATTTGTGTATCACAGGTGCCCTCTTTAGACTATTCTTAGTGCAATGCCACCGTGCGCGTACGTGCGGTTTTCTTCCGCATCCAATCATGTGAAGTCGCAAAACCAGTGTCTATTCAATACTGTTGACAACTAGTGGCTTTCCCTTCTAATCCTTGGGGAAATAATGGCCACTTGTCACTTTCCAACATAAACAAACACTGACTATTTTATCATGTTGACGTTGGGGAATTACAAACGGCAACTGAATAGTGTTCGGTAGGTTCTGTGCACAAATTATTGGGAGCCAAGGACGATGTTCGGTACAGCCGAATATTTGGTATAGCGGCGTTCCACTGTATTTGTTTAAAAACTTAGTTATTCAGTACGCTTATTATGTCAACTGCTGAAATTTTAGATGGTTTTCAAAATCCTGTTGGAAGGTAGATTTTTGTCTCCAAAACGTACATGTGCTTTAACATATTCAAGTGGTATAAAAAGTATTGATATCATCTTTTTTCGGTAAAATCAATGGTTTCCTTTTTCCAGGAAAATAGGCGGAATCATTTCCAACTGATGAAGTGTAAAGCCAGTCAGTATATCATCGCTTGAGTTTATAGGAAATAGACTACCTTGACAATGGGCACCGTCGCGGCTACAGCTGCAGCAGTCACGGCGGCTACTGTGTTTGGATTGCTGATGTCTTCCGCTCCTTTGCGTAGTGGGTTCTGTCTATCTGGCTGGGTTAGACCGTGATCGCTGCCCACCAGCGTTGGCCGGACGTACCTCTTGACTGGTCCACTACTCTCCTGTCTTTTATGCAAAAAAAAGTCAATATAGAAAATAAATCCTTGGCTTAACTTGCTTTTATGACAAAATGAAAGGTTATTCAAATACAGCATACATCTGAGGTTTTTAGAAGGCTTGGATGTGGGAAGAGGTCTGTACTGATTTGGAGAAGGCTCGATTGACTTTTGAATATTCTGAATCGAATATTTGGAGGTCAAACTCAGTGAAATAAAAAAGGAAAAGTTGAATCATTTGGTTACGAAATTGCCTTCTGAAGGCATATTTCAAATTGCATGAATGCATATTGCCCGATGAGTCCAAAAAGTATGATTCCTTCTATTCTACTAAAAATGTTTGTAAAAATGTTTGTTTCACACTAGGGGCTTTCAGCCTAGTGGATAGGGTTCGTAACTCCCAATCACTGGGTTGGGGGGTTTGAATCCAGCAGCTGGTGTACAAGTCCTGGTCCTGGACAAGTCACTTTACCCCTATGATCCTTCCAGAAGAGCACCAAATAGGCACCTATGAGGGCAGAGACGATTCCTGGTCTTGAAATAGCTGCACTTCGGTTGTGTACACTTCACGGATTTGAGATGGTGTTAAGGAATGTTCAATTCGTGTAAAATGTGCTTCATAAAATCAGTCCCTTATTATTATTACAAGGAGCGCTCTCTAGTTTTTAAACTGAATTGAATCAAAGTGCACAACTTTCCCCTTAATACAGTTTTTTTGGTCACCTGTGAACCAAATTCTGCCTACAAATGAAAGACATACCCAGGTGTGTATGACATATGTACATGTAGCTAAAAGACTGGACTTTTGTGATCCGTCTTCTTTGTGTTCCTACCTCTTCAAGAGTTGCTCCTGGAGAACTTTTTGCTTCCCTCCAGCAGCAAATTGAGTGATTCTGACATCATTGTTGAGGTCCGATGGCTGAGAGTGGAGTTGGTGGCTTGAGGTAGGAGCTCCCTGTTTCAGCAAGGATGTTGCTGATGGTTTCTATTCAAGTCAAAAAGAAACTTTGCAGTTGAGACTTTATACTGGATATGAATTCCTGCAAATTCTCAACACTAGCTTGTGGCATCCTACAACAATGGAGAAAATAACGGTCACAAGGGTACTTTAAAAATGTTCAGAATTGTGCTCAGGGAATTTTCAGGGAATACGTACGTGTGCACACTTAAGTACAACTGGGATTAATCTAAAACTAGGTTAAGATCCTGTTGCCACCAATTATTTGGCCTTTTTACATGTACGTGTCCAATATATTCATGAGAGCTAAGTTCATTTTGCAAATGTACGTGCACTTAACCATTTTCAATTGAATGTGTACAAATTGTGGCATCTCCGTATAAGGATGTACTTGAGAACACTCTCAACACATCTGTGGCACCAAATGTGCATCCACAATGGCAGAATTTCTCATTTTAACACTAACTCAATAACCTCAAACTTACCGAGTTGGATTTCACCCTGTCACCCTTTTTTAGCAAGCTTGATTTTACTCCGTTACTTTTAGCATTTTCATGACTGTCATCTCTTTTGGAGATACTGCTCCGGTCAGCATTAGTTTCTGGAGGAGCATTTTGGTCACTCTGGTACCCCAGACTTTTCCTTCTGTCTCCTTGGATTACAGCATCAGCTGTTTCTCTCTTCTTTTCGTAGCCCGGAGGCAAGTTCCTTGGTAGGGCAGGGGGCACATAGTTTTCATTTGGCTTATTACTCCCTTCCTCATCTTCAAATGGAGATTTCACCTCCCGGAGGTATTTTGCTTTGATACGGATGCGCTGCGACCCTGTGCTGGAGAAGCTAGACGATGAGGCTCTTCTTCCTGACGACCTGTCCGATGGGGAGGGTTTCGAGTGAGGAGGGAGGTTGGTGGATCTGATCAGAATGGAGCTGGCCGTAGAGCTGCCGGATGTATTATTGCTCACGTCGAGTATTTTCCGGTCAGTGGGGCCATCAAGTGACATCGGCGTCAGTGGCTGAGCAGGGAATGATGCTACAGATGCCATGACTCCTAAGGGTCAGTGTGACAAATGAGAAATTGGCCTAAAAGAGGATGGACTCTTTGTCTAGGAAGACATGTTCTAACAAAAACTGAGTTAACTCGCCATCTGACTTGTGATTCTAGAACGACTGAAGAGAGCACTCACTAAAAAGTGCACTATTCACGAGCACTCTGACTGGGACACAAGGAAAAAACAACCAAAGCTGATCATCTCTGAAATCAGACAAACGTGAACTGATATCTGCAATGCATGCAGCCTTCACTGACCAGCTGAATGGTTGGTTGATTGGAGACATCAGCCCGGCTAATAATGTCATGCTTTCCATCTGGAAAATCAGCAATTCTGCTTATGAAGGCACACACTGCCATCTCCATCCCAGGTTCTGTACACCTGGGGGGGGCAGTTACCATGTGCATTAAAATTTGTTCATAAGGTTGGTGAGTACAGAAAGCTCTGACTTTTCAAACAACTGTCAGCCCAAATCTACTGACAGTCCAAACCCTCACATACTACACATATTAAAATTTTCCAGATTAGGGCGGGTGCTGCGGCTGCTGTTTTTTTGGGTGGACTGGAAATCTAAGAGACTTGAATTCTAGATGAAAATCTGACATCAGATTGAAATATCCAAATTAGGTTCAAAAGCCGATGTCACTAGGTTACCATGATCACAACCTGTCCAATGTGCCATCAACTTAGGCTTACTAACTAGTACTGCTAATGGGGACGGTGGCCTACCGTTAAAGTGAGCCTACCCCTGTCATGCCTGTAGCTACAGCATAGTGCATACACTTGATTAGGCCTAGTACCAGTCCATTAAGCACATGCACACCCCATTTTACAAATTAATTTGGGACTGATAGAAACTGTAAAAACTTGAAAAACTGACATTAAACATGTTGAAAACAATTCATGGATGATGAGGCATGAAGTAGGCCCCTAGGCCCAATTAGGCCTTTGACTGTTGTTGATGTCCTGAAATTTAAAATTCCTGAACATGCTCAAATATGTCAAATGTCATTGAAAATTGCAGATTGCCCATTCGAGTTCCACGCAACGCCGCTTGACACCCTGTGCACAAACCCTATGAGACTGGTCTGAAAATTCTTAATATTTTCTAAGTAAACGACTTGGTTTTTCCCTCCGAAACTGAACTTTTACTGGATATATTTTACCCCCCAGAACTGTGGGGTCCGACGTCCGCTCCACGCTCCGCTATTGGTATTAGTGGGAGCGGGACGGACGTCGAACCCACAGTTCCGGGCCTGGATATATTTTTGCTTTCTGATGGATAATTATTAAGTCACTGAAGGGAATATTTACTGGCATCCGTAAGTGGAACTCTTCCCCAGGAATAAATTTCACCGCATGTGCATCAAAACAAGTACCAAAACAAAAAACTGTACACAACAAACAAAATTTCGACGAACCTTCCCAGTCTGTCGGCGGCTGAGTCATCGATTGCTAAGAAATTTCTGGTTTAAATTATTTTGTTCTGCGGCTGTTTCTTAGCGCCCTCAAGTGTTGGATTCACAGGAACTTGCACGACAGATCGCCGGTTGACACTAGGGGGCGCTGTTTATTCTGATGAGAGCCCAAGGTTGTACTCAAATACGCTCTCATAGAAAACTGTGCAAAATCGGACAGAAAAAACGCCGCCTGTTGTCTCTCGTGAAGAGGTTGGCCTCCGTTTTTTCACTGGAAATTGAAAATTATGGCCAGAAGATCACTTTTCGTTTCAATTTTAGTGGGGTTAGCCACGAAATTTTTTTTATTCGCCTTTGAACGAAGATACCCCCAAAATAGCAGTAAAACTAAGCGCGCTCATTTCTGAATGTAGCCGCCCGCCCCTATCCAAAATAGGCCCGCAATTTGGGGCTTTTTGTGAAAGAAATACCCCAAACTGGAAACTATCAGTCCTATATTCCGGATTTACAGAAATATTTCTATGATGCCTCCTGATTATGGCCTGTCTTATTGTAAAAATCCCGCGGGGTCACAAAATATTGATGAGGTCGCGCGCAGAAATACACCCACATGTATTTGGTGGAATGCACCCCCAACTTGAAGGGTTGCAGACCACTGTGAACTGCCATAATTCCTTAAGCTTAAAAAAATTGGGAAAATACTCACGAGTTTCTCAGGCGTTCGAAACGTAAATCAAATTAATGCCCATTTTATGATTGTCCACTTTCTTTTCAATTTTCTATTCATTAACCGATGACTTCTGAAGATTTTTTTCCACGAAAGGTCACCCCTAAAATGCAGTTGATCGTGAAGTCCCTCGCCATTCTGAAATCGATGCTGATTCTGAAAAATTAGACGGTTGTCAGTCACCGATTTCTTCCAAATCTCACTTAGACACAAGCAAGTATTCTCTTTGCTCGCTTAAACCCGTCTTTTCTACAAATCTTCAGGTTCACGGGCCACAAAATGCTCTATTGATTTCTCAGTGTAGAGAATTTGAGTGCATACCAAAAATCAGTATGATTTGGCTCGGCAAGCAGTTTTCGGCCTATTTACTGGCCTGCAGCCTTTAGTAAACCCCAGTTTTTACAGATTTCCCCGACAACGTGTGTAACATAGGGAAAAGAGGTTCCCAAATCAGTTCGAGGTGAAAAATCGGAAAAGGATGGCTTCCATCACAGAAAGGGGCAACGGCCTTGGGTAGGCATGAAGAAATTTCATTCACTTTCCTTCTCCTCCTCTGCTTTTCATTTATTTTATCTTTTTGGAGGGGTCAATAAAGCCATTAATCAAACAAGTGTAAGACAAAAATTACAGAAAATGGATAAATCTTCAGTACTGGCAAAACACAAGGTAACCCCGAAAGAACACAGTTATTTGGATTATCTCATAAACTGATGGGTGACCCCGATCGGACTCAGATGTACCATGCCCGACTATTTTACAACCTTACATGCATGCAGACGTATCCAATATTATTCCAAACGTAAACCTCCAACTCAAGCCGACATATAAGCTACATGTATATAGTCATTTCGAGTCCAAAGCAGCTTTCTTTTGCCAACCCACACGGTGTATTGATCATGTTAGTAGACAGTATGCGTCTGACCTGACTCGGAAAACGGCTAAAAAAAACCGAAATAGGGAAAAGAGGTTCCCTAAAAGAGTTCATTGATACAAGTTTAACTCATTTTGGTGATGGGGGTTGAACAATTTGTGATGAGTTTGGTTGCAAGCTGCCATTCTTACACGTATCAGTAACTCAGTCTGGTCTATTTTTTAATTTTCATGCGCATGTGCAATATATTATCTTCTGGGAGACCTGGTAAACTGTGTAATGTTGTAATGTATGTATTTTTGTATAAGAATCCGCAAATAAAGGTTGACATTATGAACACTGTTCTCGTAATGTAAAGTTTATACAGCTCAAAAGTGCGCCACCACCAATAGGTAATTGTCAGTTTTACATAATTATATATAACGTATTATCTGGTGTAAATTCGGAAAAGAAATTTTCAAGAAAAACCCCTGCCTATGACGTCACAAAAATAACGACCAGCACCATTGCTAGGGTAACAGAGGACGACACATTCAAGGCTGTTGCGCCTGAACCAACCATATAGATGGAGACTCTGATGTCAACATCCTTGCCCGCAGCCAGGGAGTTGGTACTCATCCTCTGAGATTCTCCATTTTGACTCATTTTGCTGCTGGCCGCCACGACTCCAGTGACGTGTTCGACTCCATCATCATTATCTTTAAGGCAGCAGAGAAGTCATCGGTAGAATGCGATTTCCCAGCGTTGATGATGACAAGGGATGAATGATGACCTGTTGTATCAGGAATGTGTAAGAAAGAGAAAATCTTTCATGCACGATGACGTACTCGAGGCTGTTGGTATAGAAGGCGGGTTCATCTTGTCGAAGTGCAGCTAGTTTCCTATAGAGCGCAGATGGGAAACAGGACAAAACTCGGTACACATAAATTCGCTATTCGATCACATCGTCTCTTTTGCAAGGACGTTACTGGTAAGAGATTTATCCTCGGTGCCCTGAGAAGGACTTGGTAACCAAATCATTTCTTTTCCTAGGTTAACGGTCGCACTGTCAATATTACTTGCGCTCGTGATCGTTCTGGTCAGTCCCCCCTGACTCGGAGGGATGCTACCCACGACATGTGTTCTTAAATTCAAACGGATCAACTGCAGAATGATTGAACCAGGGAAATGTTCGTTTATTTCTTTGCTAGCCAGGTTTCACTCACCACTCTTTCCAGTTAAGGGCACATCCAGAACCAATTTGATTTTTTTGGGGGGGGGGTGGTGGGAGGGGTTGACGGGAATGGGAGTCGGTCTGTTTGTCCATCTTTATTTAGTTATTTTTTGGGGGACGATATCAGAATTTCTTCATGTAACTTTCTGTGTCCTTTCTGAGGATTGTGGCTAATTTTGGGCTGTTGGGAGGCCCCTCGCATCTGCTAATGTTTACTTACCTACCATCTGGTAATAGATCCCTGCGGCATTTTGCAATGCCTTCAGCAGACGTTGATAACTGGTCCATTGCACATTGTACTAAAAGGGGCCACGTGATGTAATTTTTGTCAGAAATTTAGAATTTTTAAAGATTAACCCAAAAGAGGCATCAAATAATTTTCAATACATTAAACAGGAGTAGACATTTGCACAAATTCTAATTCATTCCATGGGCTCATAACACACGGAATTATAGAAGACAGTGCAAAGCGGAGAGAGACAGCATCTGGCGTCTGCTGACCCCTTAGGAACGGTATAGCCCTCGCGTATTTCACTGAAAACCCCAAGATTTCCAAGATCCAAGAACTTTTCAATTTTACAAGGGTTAGCCTTGAGATTTTTTATTCACCCTTCCACTAAAGTACCCCTAAAATAGTAGTAAACTATGCCCTCAGTTCTGAATGTATCCGCCCGCCTCTATGCAAAATAGACAAGTTTAGGGTTTTGTGAACGAATTCCCGATAGAGTTGGAAGTCGCAAGTCCCAAATTCGTGATGTACAGAACTCTCTATGATCCCCTCCGATTAAAGCACCTCTAATATTGTAAACCTCGTGGGATCACAAAATTTAAATTTAAAGCTCGATCTTTTTGGTTGTGGTAAACTGACAGCTTCGCGAATATTAACTTAGTGAAAAAGAGGAATGATATAAATTTTTGAATATTCATCATTCGAAAAGGACAAGTCATAATATAATAGGGCTTACACTGATTTACATAATTACAGTCGTTAAACAACGCATTATGAAAATTCTACATATTCATTTCTTAACGGTTTTCCGAAATCCAAATGTTCCATGAAAAATTACCTACTCAAGCGTATGGTCTTAGAATATGACAATGAAAATAAACTTCCTACATTTCAAAATCCAATCACAAAATTATTTCAAATGTTCAACGACAAAATTACACTATTACAAATGTAAATTTCAACTTCGCCAATAAAAACCCATTCCCTTATTTATGAAATTCAATTAACAAGCAATTTCACAATAAACAGCAATAGCTTGCACTAAATAGATGCAACTAGTTTTTTATGTCCTATGAAAAACACACACACACACACAAATTAACCAGCAGTTTTATGCAGGTGAATCTCATATGCAGTCGGTTCAACTTCAGATTACCTCGTGTCTACGGATAATGCTACGTATACCTATGGGTAAAATGTTTCTCCTAAATCCAGGTGTTTGGAGATAAATTTCCTGTACACACATGCTCATAGGGCAAAAATCCGCTTCCACTTGTCAAAAATCCAAATAACTAAACAAAATCCAACTGATCCGTAGTAAAGTTAATTTAGCGAAAATGAACATTTCCAAATGTCGGCGGTAAAAATCCACCCCCGTTGAAACATATCCAAGTACCAAACAGCTAAACAATTTACAACTTGTTCAAAAGATGAATCTACTTTTACATTGTTACGTCCTGCGAAAGGCAATAATTTAAAAGTCTGTTTCAGCAGCTGTGTTTTCATATGCAGTCTCAACTTCAGTTTCTCTCGGTTCTGCCTTCATGCAACAGCGACAGAACATTTCATAGAAACCTGCCCTAAAACCGTCCAATCGCCACCAGTAGATCAATGGATTTATCACAGTAGACAACGCATACAACAGGACACAAATTTCAAAACACGCCGAAAAGATTTCATTAGATAAAAGGGAGCGGTTGAAGTAGGCAATCAGCGAAAAAACGGCATACGGCAACCATGAAAAGAATGACGTAACAAGAATGAGAACGAAAACAATCAACAAACGACGAGTCTGTTTTACTCGGACGTAGTCTCGCTCCTTGTCGGCGCCGACTCCGGCATGGGACAGGCTGTACTGCTTGATTTTACGAAAAGCCAGGAAGTAGGTTAATGCAGTGAAAACCCATGCAATGAATACTCCTACAGAGTATCCAAACGTTTGCACCGTGAAAAAAACTTCACGTTTAGCAGCGTAATGTAGCAAAAAACCGTATATCAGACCAAAACACCAAAACAAGAAACACACTCCGAGCAAGCGATATCCAGTCACTAGTGAGTCGTAGCGGGCAGGTGGCATGATAGACAGGGCTAAGTAACGGTTGACAGCCGCAGCCAAAATAGTCAGTATTGACACGGAATAGCTTGCAGTGAGAATGCTCTGAAGAATTGGCGAGTCGATCCAGATAACCAGTATAATAAACAATCCGAACAGAAAGTCAGCCATGGCCAGGTTGAAGATGAATGCGAAGTATTTCATGCGAAGATTCTTCGTTTTAGCAAAAACTGCCATTGCAAGAAGGTTCTCGACCACGGCGACTGCACCGCAAACGGTCACAGAATATTTCATGGCAGTAATGATGTTTTCGGCCATGTTGATTTTTGACACCAGTCCCTGAATAGAAGAGAGAATAATGGAGGGGAGAACCTGGATTTTAGTGTAATAAATTCAAAAGTAATTTCTTCACATCGGTGTTAGTGTACTTTAATATGTAGATTTGTTGTAAACTGTTTGCAGTGTCGGTTACCTTTTCAGTTCAAGATTGGTGGCGGAACGGGTTTCTTGTTCGACCAGTTGGTATCTATTGAAAAATCAGAATGACTTGTTAAGATGATGTGTAAATGAAATATATTTCTTCATAATCGTATCAAGATATAGTTATATTTTGTGAAAAGGACTTTATAATGCTTTGGCGGGAAATTCAATACAAAAGTTGCTTTGTCGCCGCAATAGTGCTGCCCAGTCTGGTTTGGCAACTTCGTCGGACCTTTGGGGGCTTGAATCCGAGTCTCCGGATTCTGAAGCCATTTCTGCAGATGGTCCGACGTGCGTGAGCTCATTCAACACCGCATAGGCCGTATTGACCTAACGCGAGGATGCGTCAAAGGAGCCCCTCCCTTTTTCTTCATTTTCCTGATGTGTGTCATCTGGCGTCGTCCCTGCAGAGTCTAAAATACCGACAGCACCAATCAAGTCAACCAAGAACAGAACTCTAAACATTTTCTTTAACCCTAACCCTCCTCAATCCTTCACCTGTTGGAGGATTGAGGAGGGTTAGGGTTAATTTAGTTATGGATGCTGCTCGCCCCCTTTCCACAACCATAACATGGATCTGACCGGTAGCCTTTTGTTTATTGTGGTTTAAATGTTGCTCAATATGTTATTAAGTATTCTCAACAAGAGTGAAAACTGTTTTTTTTTATTCATGTCCACTTTGGTTTTTGATCCCCTCTATGAAGTGAGCAATTTAGAGGGTTGGATTTCATCTTTGGGTTGGGGATCATGACACCTGCGGTAACTTGATTAATGTGCTTTTGAAAACAAAGGGCGTATAGATTTTTATTAATTTGATGTGATATTATTTCACGTTGATCAGTTTTTACTCATGTGACAAATATGTAACATAAATATCATGTAAATAAATATTAGACATCTTCCCGTTGAATAATTCAGTGTGTTGACTTGTAATAGTCTCGATGGAAGATCTATATATTAACGTAGGCTAGAGCAGTGTTGTAGTCGAGACCCTTATGTCCGAGACCGAGACCAAGGCATTCGAGACCGAGACCAAGACCCAGACCAGCTCTTTCAAGACCGAGACCAGAACTTTGAGACCGAGACTTTTGCAGTTCGAGACCGAGATCAAGATGACCGAGACCTTGCACAACATATACAATATATAGGCCTACATGTAGTTCATTGATGGTAAACGTGGTGGACAATTGGCATTAAACAGCAAAATTAAGTGCAAATTTTACTTGTAAAGCACACAACATATTCAATATTCCATGAAAGAGTTTTATTTGAACTCTGGGAAAAAACAGCACACAGTTATTTTCACCATGAAGGCATGGACTGCCGATGCTATAGAATTTTGTATAGAGTATACAGCATAATTGTATATTAAACATGTACATGTACAGAGTTTTTGTGTTCCATATGTATAGCAAAATTAACGTGGGTGGGCCATGTCCAAATATTTAAAAAGGCAAAACGTGGGGTCTGAGTTGTTCGGACTATGCCAAAAGGTGTGCATGAGTTCAGTTTGTGAGTTATACTCTGTAATGATCAATGGACAGGTTAGAAGGGTCACACAACATCGTGGGCAGTTCCCTATTAAAAGTACATGTACATGTATATAAAAATCATGATTTTACCAATCCAAGTTTCCTCATTGATGTGTAAACATTCTACCGTAAGAATACTTTCCTGACACTTTGTTTGGAACAAGAGAGAAGAAAAACAAAAGACGACCACACTGGTACGCAGGGTACCAGTGCTCTGGGCTGAGAATATGCTTTAGTCTCCATTCCAGCTTTGATTTCATTCTTTATCGTGAATACCATGTCGTACATGTTCCAAGCATACATGCGGAATTGCGTGCAGTTCGGAACTAGACTCATTCAGAGGTAAACTTGCGCTGCAAGCAGCACTGCTATATACATATGTGTGCTGTATGTACCGTACGATCCGGGTACGTGATTTTGCCGCGGCCGAGCGTGAATTGTTGACGCACATTTTCTGCATTTCTGTCATGGTCTCGGCAGGTCTCGGGTGGGAGACCCGAGACCTCGGCATCCGAGACCAAGACCGAGAGCAGCCCTCCCGAGAACGAGACCAACCCTCCTTAGACCGAGACTCTTGTAGGCCGAGACCAAGACCGAGACTGAGACCTCAAAAAAGGTCTCTAGAGTACCTAATACACTTGGAAGAAGTGCAGAAACTGAGAGAAAATGACATTGAAATTTGTGCTCCTGTACATTTTCAATGGAGAGCGCAGAGCTTTTGCCTCCACACGCCATTTATGCACATGCACACATAAATTAGAATTTATTAGTAAACTGGTCTATTCCGCGTGCGCACGGGATGATTATAGTTGTGCATGCGCGTCCCGGGCGCTGAAGTTAAGTGCGCGAAATGATGGCATTTGATTCCTTTTGTTACCAACCGTGCCACTAACCAATCTCGTTTCCATGGGTACGTCATTTTTACATTTTTTAACCAGGGGTTAGTGAAGGAACGCGCACGTAGACCACTGAGTCTAGGTGGGCTCACAACGTAAATAATAATGGTTAGTTCCAGGAGACTGGTTCTTTTTTCGTGCTAGCAGCTGAGCATCTAGGGTGCGCCGCGCGCCGCGACTGAAGGCTACTCCAAAACGGACGGTCCGCCGGCGGCTGTTTCCTGCAAGAAAGACGAATCAACATTTGCAGGATGGGCTGTTACGAATGCATTCCATAACGGAATTGAGTACACGTCTGCCCCAGCTCTGACAGGACAATATATTTGTTTAGGTTTGTAGACAGTAACTTGTATGTTTCCTTAACGCTGGAACCTTGACGGTTCTACGTTTTGAAATATGTTAGTTTGTTGGCAGTAGATATTGTGGGTTCTGAATTTTTATTTTTTCCGCTGATTTAGTTTGGATTTTTTATACGAAATTTAGCTGTGTTATTACATATATATACAGGGCACACTAGAGGTATTAATCATTTGACCAGAACCCCAACGTTGGTGTCATTAAAACTTGTTTTACAAGTCAGATTTTGATTAAATTGTCAGTTTTCTTGTCTACGCTTGTGTATGGTAAAAAAGGAAGCTTGACTATTTTGAAGATTAAATTCCGAGGTCATTCCAGGTGTCATTCTGACGCCGAGGGAAATTTATTCAACTAATTACCACGAATGTTTTAATAAAAGCTAATAATTCTTACCTGATATTTTGTCGAATTGTATGTCCTGTGTAGTTTCCTGCTTGAATGAAGAAATCGCTGTAAAATGCAGGCCAGGGCAGGTTCCCTTCAACCACTTTCGCAGTGACAAGTTTTTCTTTTAGATGCACACAGTTAACCTCTGCTTTTAAGCAGAAGTGTTGACCTAGCATGGCATGCCTAGTCTTTTACAAGGCAGAAAGCTATTCACGAATTGACGCCTTTTTGTGCATTGTCAACCCCTTTATGCCGTTGTCTGGTTCCGACGCATATCCATTTACTTTTAGCTTTTCAAAGTAAGGGACGGATGATTTAACCCGGGCAAAGGTAAATATTACACGATCCCATGGTCGTGCCTTTGGATATCTACCGTTTCTACTGGTACATCAGCACCCCCCCCGTTTGTGGAGGGAATGAACATACGTGTTACTAAGAAGTTTAAACATGTATAATTAGCAAAGCTTATGAATAACAATTCTTTTACTGCCCAGCATCTGCTTGTACAAATGGTAAGCCGACTGTGCCAACCGAACGGTTTTTATAAATAGGGCTTTTATTGTCTGTACGTGCAGACACACACAGCTGTGCGGATATGCATGTTGGCAAAAATTCCGATCCAGAAAACCTGCTTGGTGAAAAAAATTTCTCTGCCACACAGAATGCAAGCAAAGGGATTTCAGCAACAAGCTTTTAATACTGACGAAGTAACATTTACCTAACAAAAGCTGAAAAGGAACGTGCACTTAAGCAGAGGGCGGTTGAGTGTCTGCGCGCGACGAGTAACTAATGAAAAAGCTCAACAACATGAAAAATACAGTTAGAGTGAAGTCAAATGTTATCCCCCAAAAAATTCAAGTTAAAAGAGTGGAAAAAGTGCTTCTAGACATGATGCAATCACAAAACTCTTCAGTTATCATGGAGTAAAAGGTAACAAAATTATTACACTCTTTTTGTACAGCCATTTTACACACTTGACTCGTCTAATAGTGAAATCAAGTTTAAAATTGTTTGTATTTTGATTCTGGGCACTCTCTCCCAAGGGCACATACCTTTTCCTTCCGAGTGACATTCATAAACGCTGCCTTTTTATACATTGATATTTACTTTTCCTTTCTTAAGTTGCCCCGTTAAAATCGTGAAAAATTACTAGCAAATATTCCTTCAACTCCTTTTAATCTACACAAAATGAAACAAAATTGTCTAGCAAAAGCTAAAACGTAGAGAGTAAATACTGTTACTTTTAGTACATGTATTCTAGTAAAGGCATTTGTTTTGTAATTCATACAACGAAGAGGAAAAGATTAACAATTGGTACTAAAAGCAAATGCTAGCTTTTATTCATAAGTACCCGTTGTATAAATAGATTAAAAGCTCGATCTAGCTGGATATCAGTACATGTATTTATGAAAGGTTGGACCTGTTTGGTTGTAGTAGACTGACAGGTTCGGGGAACATAAACTCAGTGAAAAGGGAATAATATGAAGTTTAGAATTTCCCTCTTTTGAAAAAGACCAAGGGTAAGTCATACGTACGATAAAGCTGGCTATAACACACACTAAGAAAATTCCACATATTCACGGCCAAAACGTTTTTCTTAAATTTTACTGTTCCACGATAAATTTCCAATTCGTACGTAATCTTTGAATTAGGAAATAAAAGTTTGCTTCCCTATTTAAAGAATCCGATCACCTAATAAATCCAAACGGTTAATTTTACAATTGCTTTGCTACAGTAACGTTGAATTTTGGCTGTAAAAATCTACTTTCTTTATTTTAAAAGTTTAATCACCAAACAACCCCACAATGAACAGGCAACGTTAACTTTAAAAAGAGGAAACTAATTTTCAAAGTGTTATGTCCCATGCAAGGACACAAATTTGGAAGCCTGTTTTTATGGGCAGCCGTATTCTCATTATAAAATCTGTCCAACTTTCAAGTTCCTGTCGGTTCTGCGGTATTCAAGAGCAAAAGTTTTCTTCTAATTCTAAATAAAGATTCCCCGATATTTCATGCACGTGCAAGTAAGCTCTCAGAATTCCGCAACGAAATATCCGCTTCCCACTTTACAAAATCCCAATCGCAAAATTCATCCATAAAGTTTGTGGTGAACTTACAAATATTATTTTTAAATTTTAGCAATGATAATTCGTTTCCTTCAGGTCAAATATGCATCACCAAACAACCGCAAAATGAACAAGTATATTATTACCGTAAAGACAAGATAACTCGACAGTGTTACTTTATATGGGGCCCATGCAATTCGTCTTATACCTCCCATTGGGCCTATGTTATTCACAAGCCTGTTTCGTCAGCTGTATTATCATATAGGCCTACAATCTGTTCAACTTCAGTTTCTCTCGATTCTGCCTTAATGCGACAGCGACAGAAGATTTCATAGAAACCTGCCCTAAAATCGTCCAATCGCCACCAGTAGATCAATGGATTTATCAGAGTAGAGAGCGCATACAACAGGACACAAATTTCAAAACACGCCGAAAAGATTTCATTAGATAAAAGGGAGCGGTTGAAGTAGGCAATCAGCGAAAAAACGGCATACGGCAACCATGAAAAGAATGACGTAACAAGAATGAGAACGAAAACAATCAACAAACGACGAGTCTGTTTTACTCGGGTGTAGTCTCGCTCCTTATCGGAGCTGACACCGGCGATAGACGCGAGTGGTGGGGTATACTGTTTGATTTTACGAAAAGCCAAAAAGTAAGTTAATGCAGTGAAAACCCATGCAATGAATACTCCCACAGAGTATCCAAATGTTTCCACCGTGAAAAAAGTTTCATGGTCATAAGCGTAATGCAGCAAAAAACCGTATATCAGACCAAAACACCAAAACAAGAAACACACTCCGAGCAAGCGATATCCAGTCACTAGTGAGTCGTAACGGGCAGGTGGCATAATAGACAGGGCTAAGTAACGGTTGACAGCCGCAGCCAAAATAGTCAGTATTGACACGGAATAGCTTGCAGTGAGAATGCTCTGAAGAATTGGCGAGTCGATCCAGATAACCAGTATAATAAACAATCCGAACAGAAAGTCAGCCATGGCCAGGTTGAAGATGAATGCGAAGTATTTCATGCGAAGATTCTTCGTTCTAGCAAAAACTGCCATCGCTAGAAGATTCTCGACCACGGCGACTGCACCGCAAACGGTCACAGAATATCGCATGGCAATTAAGATGTTCTCAGCCATGCTGCTGAAGGTAAATTTCATTGATTCTCAAAACTACTCCCTTGGGTAGAAGAAAACAGAGAGAGAATCTGGGTTTTAGAGTAATCATACTAAAACCACGGAACATAGTTCAGGCTATTTTCTGTCCATCATCCACATTGTGTTTTAATATCTAAAGCGCCATCTTCATATTTTTGAATTGTAAATTGTACGTGATGTCAGTCATCTTACCAGTTCAGGATGATGCGGATGACTACCTGTTGACAGTTTGCCCTGTCGGTATCTACTGAAAAATCACAATGATGCCAAATAAGAGTTGCAATTTTACAACCACAGGGTGTCTACTTGACTTTTCGACTTGTCGAAACGTCGAGTTGACAGTCACCAGTTGTTTTCAGAATCCCCACCTCTTTTTTTGAAGAGATAGATCCCACGGTGTAGTCGCAAACCCTTTCCATATGTCCAATAATGCAATTTGTTATGTGCAAACCTTTAAAATAAGGCGCATCTTTATTTTTTAACGCAAAACTTTGCATACAAATCAATTTGGTTTTCACTTACTTCACGTAATCCAGCAACTGGCGTTTCAACGAGAGCGACACGCAATTCAGACTGCAGACAGGTCAGCCGTGTGAGAATCATAAAAGGCGAAGCACGATGAGGATGGAATATTCCAATTTCGGTTATAGCCTTGGCGGCACAGTCATGGAGGTATTTTGCCTACTATTCTCCCTATAATACAAATTAGTCCTAATACTCATTTTTTCTCCTTATTGATAAAATTTCTGTTTAATTTAGATCCATATAGCTTTTTAGTGCTTTAAGGTATTCCAATTTTTGGCAGAATTGATTGAATAGAGTGGTTATAAAAGTATTCGGTGCACTATTCTTTACCAAAGCCCGTAGGTGACATCGCAGTTTTTCTCAAAGCAACTTTTCTCCACTGTATTTTTTTAAATTTATTTTTGAGAGCAGTCACTTTTGGGGGAATTTTACGAAAAAACGTTTTGGTCGCAGGCGTTGCTTTGCTTTGTGTACAGCAACAATTACGAAATAAAGAACCCCTGTAGTACGGTTCCATTAATGCCCTGAGACACATAGTCTGCTCTTCGTTTCGATGTTGCTGCTAAATATATTCAGGAGCAATTATTCATATTTCCCATAGCGGCCATGATATTTTAACGAGCACCTGTTCGTTACGAGCAGCTACTAATTTTTTTCTATCGTGAGCAGCTTTTTGTATGTTATATATAGCTACTCTTGAATAAATGAGCAGCCTACCCTGAAAGTAACAAAATAAAAATAACTGCTCTTGAAAAATTTTGTAATGAAAAAAAAAAACATGATGGCACAAACGGATTTTAATCTTAAATTATTTCTATCCCCATGACAGCAACTACTGGTATATCCATAACGAAACCCTTGTAGCTTGGTGGATGAATAGCCATTTTGTTGGCGGGGGGGGGGAACTTTGGAACAATGAGGTGTATGAAGCCAATCCGCTTGCTTCTGATTCAGAAGACGGAAAAAAAAAGTCAGAGTCAAAGCCAGGAGAATGAGAGGCTCAACACAGAGCAGGCCAAGAAAAACCGGATCTATCAGATTTTCTTCTTGATCGACTACGCAGCAGGCCTCGGTGGATTCATCGATTGGAATGGGATGAATGTAAAAGCTTCATTTTGGCTTCAACAGATTGGGTGGTCAAAATAATGGAATGGTCCAACGAGGTAGAATTGATTGTCCAATTTCGCAATTAGCCCATATGAAGCAAGATATGAGACGGAGAGAACCCCGCCTTGTGTTGGTCATTGTTCCACTGGAATCTGAGGAATTCTTTTCAGACATCTGGGGGATGTGTTAGGTAACAATAGTCTAGAGTGTTATAGCTATTGGACATTTTTGGGGGGTACCCCTCGGTGTCATTTCTGGCCGGATATAATTTAGCCAGTTTCGCAATTCACAGAAAGCGGGCTTCATTTTCAGGAAAAAACAAAACAAAAATTGTTGGGGTCTCGATTCATACTGAAATAGTTTTCCTGAAGATCTTGTAGAAAGCCAATTTTACTTACAGAACTGCCGCAGTAAATTAAGAAGATCGGCGACAATCGTTCTTCGCCGATTGCAGTTCGCAACAGCAGCGCGTGTGTGATATACACAATGTTGCGTTTGTCGCTCTTTGCGGTGGTTTTTTCCCATCAAAATTCGTTCTGCTATCAGAAATTGACAGATATCCCTCTGTAACAATATGAGCTCTGTACATTTTCAATGTATATGCTTTGGATATAAAAGTGACTGCAAGAGTTTTTATCAGTTCCGCAAAGCTATTCTTTCCGTTCTATTCTTTACATCAAAGAGGTTGTGCAAAGTTACCGGCAACTTGTCTTGGGGAGGAATTGCCTAGATGCTATGAAGCACTCTGCATACTCTTCGAATTCAGATAACCCAACTTGTTGCTTCCAGTTGCTGCTATGGTTCTCAGGAGAAATTACTGACCCTCTTTTGTTGCACGTACTGACTCCTTTTTCGTGCATTTAAAGTTCTTCTTTTTGCCCTTTGCTGATGATACTGTGAAGAGCTTGATTTACTCACTGGCACTCCCTTAATCTTATCAACAAAGCAGGTACTATAAACCTTTTCCCTGGTCTAAAAGATCCATTTACAGCCTGTGGTCAAGAAAGAACAATTGCTGACAATTAATATCAATGTTATACTTCAGTCAGTCTTTCATAGGTCCCTCACAAAACCTAAGTTAATTAAATATAAAGTATTAATGATCACTGACAACCACATCTCTTTATACTCTTCACCCTCGTACTCGTGTCGGGCGTTTGAAATGAATTGTGTTGAATTCACATAATGATACAACACGACGATGTATCATGGATGGTGTACATGTACGTTTTGTGTGCAAGCTCATTGTATCCAGTTCAGTAATTAAAAAAGATCATCGGGAAACAAAGCACACAATCAAGTATGCCCGCATGGGATGCTCTGCTAGGCAAGAGCTCACATGCCCAAACATTGGACCTTAAACACACTTTAGTTTGAGTGTGAGCTGTTAAATTTTGAAATGGCTCTTAAATTGGTTTGAATTCCCTAAAATGTTAAAGAATAATTTGAATTTAGTATTTCTACACATGCCATCGGAAGGGTTAACATATTATTACCAGTGCTTTAATTGCATTCACTTGTGAGTGTAATTCTGAATTCATTCGATTCCCATGATGTCATGCTGTAAGAAAACATGCCCGCCATCTAAATCACTGATTAGTAAACCATTTTTCAGGAAAACAAATATCGGAAAGAAATGAAATAATGTCAAGAATTTAGTTCAATATCTGTCATTTCAGGAAGCTTTTTGGCTCCAGATCCAACAAAGGATTCCTCATTACCAAAAACTTGAATCGAGACTACAAATCCACTTTAGCACCCGACTCTAAATCAAGTGGCTCAAGTGGAAGGTTTGAACAGCTAACTGACCATAAGCAAAAACAGTTGCAGGGTGACGTTAACTGCTTGAAGTATATTAACGAGGGATGCGGATGGAGTAGTGCAACACAAAATGAAGAAAACAGCCCGTCTCCATTTCGTTAGGAAATGGTCTCTATCGCCAAAATTGCAAGGGAAGTGATCGATCAGTTCCCAAAGTACCTGGAACAGCCTGGATTAGTGAGTATTAACCGGTGAACCCAAATTTAATCCTGCTTGATGGTGGAACTTCATCAAAGTGGTACACCTTAACACCCTGCACTGAGTGTATTGAACATAGAAATATTTCAAAGGAACTAATGTGATTTGTAAAATTTTACAACCAGTCTCTTGTGTCACAGCTATAGGCTGATTGGATTAAAGCCGCGGCTGGAAAGAAAGACCATACTGCAAGTAGTCCAATGATTACAAGTACAACTGTTCTTTGTACACAAATAAAAAGAAAGTTTAATTATCGCTTCCAATTAATCCCGATTAATTATCACTTCCCGAATTCGAATCCCCAAGAGAATGTACCGCGGATTAACATAGGAATCCCAGCGGTAAAATGCACAGCCTGATATCTTTCAAATATGAAATATGTCCTGGAATCAGATACGTTCTATGGACACTTCTCTGGTACCACCCACAGAACTAAAGGCACTACCATTTGTAGCTCTTCTATTGTCATATATCTTATCTCTTTCAAGGTGTACAGTGTTCAGTATATTGGAGAGACTAAGAACACTCTTTCTTTGGTCACAGATCTACGGTCAACACCAAACGATTAGATACCCCTGTAGGCCACCACTTCGACCTTCATAACCATTCTATGTCTGGCATGATCTTACATGGCATAGAATCACTTGGGTTCCGTAAAGATGCTGCTTGCTTCAATAGGGAGAAGCTTTGGATCAAATGCCTCCACACCATACAACCCCATGGCCTGAACATCCAAGAGGGAAAGTACTAATTAACACTCTTTTCTTTCCCTCTCTTTTGTCTGCAGATTGTAAGTTACCCCCCCCCCCACTTGGGGTCCAGTTCCTTCCATTGTATTTTTTGGGGGATCTCTTCCCACCTTACATTCCTGTGTTGTTCAACCATGCCTTTCATGCACTCCCCTTTATCCTTTGCCCCTTTATCCAGCCTGCAGCTTTCTTGACCTTTCCTTTTGTCCTCTTGGCATTCATCCATGCTTTGTCAATTCTCTGTTTGCTTGTTTGTCCTGTCCACTTGTCATTTTGCCTTTGTGAAAGATTCTGCTAGAATCGAAACGTATTTTGCGTATAAACCGCATGGTTTTGATGATGCACCATGCACTGGCCAGTAGCGTCAATGGCGGTGATTTGCTGTGTCGGGTTTGTAAACGTTCTCTATCGTTGGTCCATGGTGCAAGATCGTTCATCAGCAGTCCTGTCCAATTGTACAAATTGAGAATGATGCTCTCCTCACCGAGGGGCTTAACAAACGTGAGATAGCAGAATATTTCAATGTAACTGTTGACCATAAGGCTATCCCTTGTGCAGGAAATTCCTTCGAATCGTGTTTTGATGCTTTGTTCAAGGTACACTCTGTGTTTGGATAGCAATATGCCAAGCACCCCACCAACTTGAAAACTTGGAGGTAGGGTGGCATTGTTTGTGAATAATTCTCTGAAATTTCATGTTTGACATGATCTCATGCCTTCTTCCGGTGGTTGTGAGTCCGTTTTCATTGAAATTGAACGCGATTCTTCTAACCTGATTGTCGGTAATGTCTACAGGGCTCCTGGTACTCCTCTCGATAATTTTCAGCAGCGTTTTGATTCATGCCTTTCCATTGGAAAAGTAAAGAAGTTATGTCCCTTCAAACCATACGATTGCTAAGATTACACCAGTTCATAAAAGTGGCAATCCTAAGAACATTCATAACTTTTGACCTATTTCTGTTCTCCCCTAGTTCTGGAAACTTCTCGGGCGGCTTGTCTACAACCGACTGTCAAAATTTCTTTCTCAATTCAAGATTCTTTTCGACAACCAGTTTGGCTTTCGTAGCGGTCACTCAACTGACATGGCTCTCATTCGCTTTACTGACCTTATCTCTAGTTCTTTGTGTGATAGGTTGTATACCGTCGGGGTGTTCATCGGTCCATTTAAGGCTTAGGATACCATTGATCACTCTATCCTCTTATCCAAACTGAATTTCTATGGCGTTAAGGGGTGATTTGAGGGTCATCTCGACAATCGCTACCAGTACACTAAGATTGATGACTGCAACTCGTCTCTATAATAAGGGTAAGAAAAGTGTGAGCTCTGCTCAGTGAGTAAAATGAGGTGTTACATATGCAGAGCAGACTTCGTAGTATTAATAGGTTGTTTACTCTCGGCACAGCAGACTTCATTATCTTCCCAAGCCACGAATACAAGAGCAAGTCTGATCAGCAAAGTCCAAGAAAGAAAACATTCAAAGCGCTTGAAGCACCCCTGGACGGCAAGGTTCTTTGTTGAGTTCAGTGGCTTCAGCCGCACATTCGAACACAGGCAATTCGAATGCGGGCAGCCCTAACTCGGGCATTTTGCGGCCTATTATGATTAGGTGAAGCTTTGATTAGGTTAAGCCTGTGTGTGCCTGTGAGAGGTAAAGCGTGACATCGTAGCCGTATTCTGCAATTGTCTTTTTTCATTTTTCCAGGCTAGAAGCTGCAATTGATACCAGCCACGACTTGCCCATTTGTAGTCAAGAAGATGTGCAACTAGCACTCATGTGCTTTTCTTGCAAAAGTAGGCCCACAATTCCAGAAACGTGTGTGGATGAGATTGTGAATCCTGGCAATATATTGCTTGAAAGCATTGCAAATAGTGCAACTCCAGCAGTACAGCTTTCAAAAATCGTGGACTTCCAGCTAACTGTCCTGCTTTGGATTTCAGTCACACTTGTCAAAGCTGCAAAATCCATTTGAAAAATTAAATTCAGATTACAAAAGGCAAAGATACTGTCGAAGTATGGGGATGCTGGAACCCTGTGAAATATGTATATATATATACGGTTGAAAAATGGCTCTAAGTGCCCGAGAAAGTTGGGGGTTGTGACTTGAAAATGGCTGCAAGCAGGCTTCGGAAAAATCACTTTTCGGGGGTTAATTTTGTTTTGTGGGAATAACTCAAAATCTAATCGGTTAACCCACAGAAAATTGACAAGGAAGTGAAAGGACCATACAATAATTTAACGTGGGTTTCAGATACCTCAGTCATGTTGGTGCGTATGCTATTGGGACCCGAACAATGCTGATATTTACATTGTTTTCAACAGGGCTTGAATTAGTGGACTACACTACTTGGGTCTTTAACACTGGGGCCGGTAACCGCACTTTGTTTATGTAGCCGACCAGAGCGGTTAATCGGATTACGGTCTATAGGGACTTCGTTCTAACTCCTTGTGTTTAAAAGCTCCATGGACCAGGTAAGCTGAACATACGCAGCAAGGTATGAGACGGAGAGAACCCCCCCTGCTTTGTGTTGGTCATTGTCTAGCAGGAATCTGGGGAATTCCTTTCAGACATCTTGGGGGGATGTGTTAAGTAACAATAGTCTGGAATGTGTATAGGGATTGGACATGTTGGGGGGGGTACGCTTCGGTCTCATTTCTAAGCTAAAGCTAAATGTGTTAGGTTTAACTAGTGATAGCATTGATCTTGTCATGGAGCAATACCCTCAACAGAATTCTCCACTCAAGTGTATGATTCCAATTGGGTGAATATGTGGCATATGATATCAGTCATCCTTGTTTGTTTGCTATGACATCACTAAACCCTGTTCGGCCAGTTTGTGCACGTTCTAGCTGGAGCATGATGACGCAGTGTATTTTGTGTTGTGTGTGGAAAACAGAGTACTACTGTATAGCACACTTACCATGCTCATGTAATGCGAATTCCAAATCCAAACAGATGTGTTGTTACAACTCAAAACTGACTATCAGCCACTGGATTTAATTACAGATACTTCTCAAGTTAGTCAAATTTGTTTTCATCACAAGACATGTTCTGTTTAAGTAAGAATATGTTTAACAATATGCAAATAGCCACTTTAAAATTTTTCAACAGTTATGTTG